ATTGTGTGTATGTACCATAGTTTGTTTATCCATTCATCTATTGATGGGCATCTAGGTTGTTTCCATCTTTTTGCTATTGTGAACAATGCTGCAGTGAACGTGGATGTGCATGTATCTATTCATGTGATGGCTCTTATATCTCTAGGATATATTCCTAGGAGTGGGAGTGGGATTGCTGGATCATACAGTATTTCTATTTCTGACTTTCTAAGGAAGCACCATATTGTTTTCCAAAATGGTTGTACCATTTTGCATTCCCACCAGCAGTGCATAAGAGTTCCAGTATCACCTCAGCCTCTTCAACATTTGTTATTTTGTTTTTTTGATTCATGCCAGTAATGCTGGGGTGAGATGGTATTTCATTGTGATTTTGATCTGCATTTCTCTAATGGCTAGTGATCACGAGCATTTCCTCATGTGTCTGTTAGCCACTTGAATGTCTTCTTTGGTGACGTGTCTGTTCATTTCCTTTACCCATTTTTTAATTGATTTGTCTTTTCGTGTAGAGGTGTTGGATTTTCCTGTAGATTTTAGAGATTCAACCTTTGTGGGGGTTGTAATAGCCAAAATTTTTTTCCCAGTCTGTAGGTTCTCTTTCTGCTCTTTTGGTGACGTCTTTTGATGAATATAAGTGTTTCATTTTTAGAAGATCCCAGTGATCTAGCTTATCTTCTGGAGTTTGTACGTTGTTATGGTTTGTATCCCGTTAATGCTGTGTATTAGGGTCTCTAGCGTTGATCCTATTTTTTCTTCTATGATCTTTATAGTTTTTGATTTTAGACTTAGCTCTTTGATCCATTTTGAATTATTCTTTGTGTATGGTGTGAGTTATGGGTCCTGTTTCTTTTTTTTGCAGTTGGACATCCAATTTTGCCAGCACTATTTGTTAAAAAGACTGTCTTTTCCCGCATTTGATGGACTTTGGGCCCTTGTTGAAGATCAGGTGACCGTAGATGGATAGATTTACTTCTGGTTCCATTGGTCAATGTATCTGTTGTTGTACCAGTACCAGGCTGTTTTGACTACTGTAGCTGTATAGCAGGTTCTGAGGTCAAGTAGTGCGAGTCCTCCTACTTTATTCTTCCTCTTCAGTAATGCTTTACTTGTCTGGGGCCTGTTCCCTTTCCATATAAAGTTGATTAGTTGTTCCATCTCTTTAAAGAATGTTGTCGGTATTTGAATTGGGATTGC